CACCCTCTTCCCATTCCTAGGCAACCACAGTCAATAAAGATTACTTTCTTTCACCAAAAATTACTTTCAATTTTCTGGCATGTTATAGAAATGGAATTATACAATTTATACTCTTTTTTTCTGGCTTCTTTCACTGAGCATAATTATTTTGAGATTCGTTCATTACTCTTGGGTAAATACCTAGAAGGGTGATTCCTGGGTCATATTAGTACATGTTTAACTTTTTAAGAAACTGCTACAAACTATTTTCTAAAATATTTGTACCACTTTGCATTCCTACCAGCAGTGTCCAAGAGTTCCAGTTGCTAGGGTGAAATCTCTTTAATTTCAAGCATTCTAGAAGCATTAGGTTTTGGTTTTTAACCAGCGGACCCCATTGATAGTTTCTTAGCCTTTCTGAGCCTCAGTGGGTCTTAGAGGGAAACTGGGTGGAGATGGCGAGAGGAGGAAAAGGGTGTCATGTGACCTGCCACCATCGGAGCTGGCCTCCAGTGCTGTGAACTCAGTAGATATTTAAAGCTTTTCCTTTCTGTCTTGGGACACTGTTGTGGGCTCATGGAGATGGCTATTGCTCAAGCCCTGCTCACTTTTGACCTTGATGGATGCACCCTTCTTCCTAGGGGTCCCTTGCAATTTCTTCTTCAAACTTTGAGAAGCTGACATCCAACTCTCGCTTCCTGCTGCTGCCATTCCACTGCCCCTCTTGGAGGCCTACGGGACAGGGCCAAAGTTGACCCCTTGTAGGTGTTCTCTGCCCACGCTGGTCCATGGGAAGCACTTGCCCAGAAACACCTGGGAATGTGAGCTGACCTCGGCATACCTATCTCTGGCTCCTTCATCAGTGCAGCTGGGCAGCCCATTTCTCCAGCGTCTAGATGTCCCTGGCCACATCAGACCATTGGGTCCTCGCATAGGGGTCATATGTTAAGCTCTCCAAATAGTTGCCTACCTGCCCCTATTCTGCTCCTTTGAGAAAATGGCCACCAATGGATTCCCTTCTTCCCATCATAGGAGAGCTGTGGGTGAGTGTAGGGGTAATAACACAAAAAAGGGTTTGAGTCACATTTTAGCAGTTGTGGGCTTTGACTACACTCTTGAAAGTGAGGGATGGCTGTCACAGCAGAACTTTTGAGCAACATCGTACAAGTCATGTCCACCTCCCTGGACCTATTTTCTACTATCTTCATGAAGGTGATCATACTACCCAGCCGGGGTGTTGTGAAGGCTGAGTGACATAGTGAATCTAGAGAATGTTGCCAGATCTCACAGCCTAGGATTCCACAATCACAGACCTGCGATTCCATCTCTGTGTGACAGTTTACAAGTGACATTGCCTCTGTGGGTCTCGGTTTTCTCATTTGTCTAATGGTATTCATGAGAGCCCCTACTTTAATAGCCTCTCTGCAAAGTTAGTTTGGTGAACACACAGATAAAGTGCTTAGCGTGGTGCCCGGCACTTGTTAAGAACTTGGTCCTTCTGGGTGTTAATAATACAGCGGAGGGTGGCTAAGAGGGCTCTGAGACTGGTATTTGTGGTGCAGGGGGTGTGATGTCTATACTCCCCCTTGTCCCCTACCATTCTAGGCTCTGTTTTGGACATGCTTCAGCCCGGCTGGAGGCCCCTGGGAACAGAGAGGACGGGCTGTACCTCCAAGCAGTCACGCTGACACAGGTTAGAAAATCAATGTGTGACCAGAATAACACAGCTGGCTCCCGCCTCTTCTGGGAAATCTGTGCAGCCAGCCCTGGGCACATCTTATCTCGTCCTCAGAGAGGTGGACAGCTCTAATCTAGGCCCTGATTCCAAGGCTCGTGAACAAAATCTTGGCACACACAAGTCTCTGGCTACTTGAGGCACACCAGGCCCATGGACCACAAGCTTCACACGACCCTCCAGTTGGGGTCAGGCACGTCTGGCACTGGCCAAGCCCTGGGCTTCTTCCAGTCATAGTCTGGACACTTCTCAAGCCAAGTCAGGCTCCGGACCACTGGTTGGGCAACCCATGACCTCAGACTGGGTCAGATCCATCAGCTGAGCATCTGTTTAAGCATATGGAACATTTTGTTCTTTAGAATCCCAAGGGCCAAAGAATATGAACCCTCCCCATTCACAACTCAAACCTCCAACACTGCCATTTATTTACTTTATAACTTTGGGCAAGTTTCTTCACCTCTCTGAGTTCTAGTCTTCCTATCTGTTACATGCAAACTAATGAGTAACTCCATCTTCCAGGGGTGTGTGAGACTCAGGTAATGAGTGTCAAGGGGTGACATACCTATTGGCAGGTACTCCATAAAGGGGAGTTATTATTTATGCAAACAAGGGCACTGAACACCAAATTAAAAAAAAAAAAAACAGTGAGATATATATACAGTGGATGAGAGTATAGACTGGGGAGCCACACTGCCTGGGTTCAGAACCTGGCTACTCTACCACTTTCTGTGTGGCCACAAATAACCTCTTTGAGCCACAATGTTCTCCATAAAATGAGAATGATAATAACGTTGTGAAGATTCAGTTAGATCGGATGCACTGGGAAGAGTGCCTGTCACATAATAATCACTTAATAAGTATCAACCATTTTTAATTAGTCACATAAGTTAGTAATGTTAGTAATGGCACTGAAATCACACAGGTAAGGGTTTTTGACAGGATTAATAGGGAAGGGAACTCATATTTAGTGAGCATCTACTGTGTACTTGGTACTCCCAGAAGTGATATGTCCATATATGTATATGTATAGTCACACACACATTCTCTCTCACACACACACATACACAGAGTAAGATACTTCTGTTTTCATTTTTTAAAACCTGTCTATTATAAAACGAACCACACATGCAAAAAAATCATTCAAATTAAATTTGTAGCTTAGTGAGTTACTTCAAGGCAAACATCTTTGCAACCATCACCCAGGTCAAGAAATAGAAGTTTGTCAGCCTCCCAGGAGCCCCTCCATGTACCCTATCCCAATCACAGCCCTCCCCCCAAAGTAATCACTAACCTGACTTTTATAGTAATTATTTCCTTGCATTCCTTTCCGGTTTAATCATCCAAGTGGGTACTCCTAGACATTATAGTTTAATTCAGCCTATTTTTAAAAAACTTAATTTGTCTTTTAAGCCTCTTTTAATGCAGAGGTTCCCCCCTCCATCTCTTTCTTTTCCTTGCAGTTTTTCTGTTTGAAGAAATTGGGCTGCTTGACTCATAGAGTTTCACAAAGTCTGTATTTTGTCAATTGCATCCTCATTGTAAAGTTCAACATGGTCCTCTGACCGCTGCATTTCCTGCAAATTAGCAGCTGGATCAGACCCAGTTTCCATCCCTTTGGCATGATCATAGGTGGTTCTGAGTTCTTTCAAGAAACATGTACATGCCTGGAGTTTTGATCTTTTTTTTTTTTTTTAGCTAGAGATATGAATTTATTGTGGGTTGCAAAATGGCAATATTGTATCATTTTGTTTTCATGTATTATTAGTTGTACTAATTTTAATTTTCTTAATCTAATATTTGGTTACCCAGTGGTACAGTGCATGTACAAAAGGTGAAATAAACTTGATTCTTTCCTTCTATCTACCTAGTTTTCAAGAATATAATTTGTTTCCACGCCATCCTCGGAAGATGATTAATTAGTGTTTTGCTGAATTTATGAACTTTTTTTGGCGATTTTTATCGATTGCAATTACCTTTGCTGCAGCTGAGATGGTCTCATCTTCAGGTTGGTTTCTAGTCCTTTTGATGTGACTCTAGTGCCTTTGAAAGCTTCCTTGTTATCTAATAGGACAAGATATTCCAGCCTCAGCTACTGATCTGTAATCAAAAATTTCTCTAAGTGATCTTTTTTTAAAAAATAGAAATGGCATTTCAAGACTAGAATCTGAGTGCTAGGTATGCTCATTGCTACTAGATTAGTCATTATTTCTAGGCCTTTCTCGTGGATAGAATTAGGTATTTTATATATACAGTATATATATTTATATATTTATGTATATATGTGTATATATATACACACACATAAATTTTATATATACAGTATATACATTTATATATTTATGTATATATGTGTATGTATATATACACACATATAAATTTCTATTTAAACAAATCATCTCTTGAATTCATACTAATATTTCCAATGCAAAGATAGCATTATGGGGCTTTTAATTACCTTCTTCTGTATTACATCTGTTGTAACTCCTTTCTTCCACACTTAAATCTTTGGTTTTCAAGGACACAGGCGATGATAAAATTGAAAGATTCTGTAATTACCGATTCACATCTCCACCTCCCACCCCCAACACACAATGTAGCACGTGGCAGAAACTGCCAGATTCTTGTGGCCCTCTTGGATCAGTTCCCGCCTCCCTGGAACCTCTTACCC